CCATCAAATCCTTTAAATTTAGGAATCTTTTCTCCCAAGATTAGGCAATTGCTGGCATCGGCAAACCCCCAGAACTCTTTTCAGCGAGCGCCATTAAGACAACATTGGTGCTATCAGCTAAATTTACCAAGCTCCATCTTCTTCTTTATTGCCTTTTGACTGTGGTAGATAAATGAATCCAATATCCCAGAAACCGTGAAAACCCCTTAAAAGAGAAAAATGGGTTAGTATCTAACTCCTGATAAATAAATCCAAATATGCTTTTGATAGCAAAACCATGGAAATGTACCCTGGGGCGAACAGATTATGTATTACCTCCAACTATAGCGCAAACATTGGTTAAGAAATGCAAGAACGAGACGTGCTCCTCCATGAATGTAACCTTGTTAAGGCAATGGATAAGGTGGATAGTGTTAGGTGTACCAAATCTCACGATGGAATGACCCTCAGATAAAATTTAAAACACTAGCAAATATACAAAACGGAAGCCATACCTTAATTGGAGAAAGATCATAGAAGAAGAACACTCCAGGGAGGGACTGAAGACGACCAGCGTCCGCACTCCTAAAATGCTCAGTTACAGAAAACTGGGGGGAGGGGGGGGACATGTTAATCTGATGCAGCAATATATCATAAATGAATGAAGGAATGATGTTTTGGGCGGTGTATACCTGATTGGATTGGATTGTATGGCCACCGACATCAGTGTACACTGTAGGTACGACCTATATTACATGCATGGAAAGTTAATCAGTGCTCGGGGGAAATGAAAGGTAGCTAAAAGTAAAAGTTTATGAAGCAACACCTTGATAAAATACTGGTACATCCCACTTGGAGATTCTTGATTCCAATGTACACTGGATATAATGTTAACACAGAAAAACCCATAAACCAAAAAGGGCAATATAAATAAGAAACTGAACATTTGGATCAATAAGAGAAAAGAACAAGGCAGAAGAACTTTCATTACCCATCAAGAGGATTCACAACCCCAGGAAAATATTCTCCAAAAGTTAGCCTATTGATATGGTGACTAACCTGCGCAGATTTTCATAGATGTATCGATCAACTTAGCAAATAAATAAAGCATGCTCAATGACAATAAGGGGTACCATTCTAGTTTGAACTTTCAAGGTGCATGGACAAAAGAGAAGCTAAGAAAGTACAGATTTTTTTCTTCTTACATTGAAGGTATCTTTCTGAAATGCCAGGAGATCATGAACATGAACTCCTGATTGTTGAAAGCTCTTCCCTGGTGCAAAATGAAAATTACCAGCCACCTTATTAACCTCCAGAAACCCATACACATTACATCCTTCACCTTCTTCCTCTTTGATTCTCTGAAGAAAACCTTCTCTTTTACACTGGGATCACAAACAAAACATGACGTGGGAGAAAATTTGATGTCAACAACATTATTAATAGCTTGCTTCCCTAACATGAAATGTCAAATACATCCACAAACATATACAAGCATGTGTCTGCATTGAAATGTTGGGAGTTTGTTTGCATAACTAGGACTCAGTAACTAACAAAGGTCTTGCACAACTAGAATACTCATTCCACTAGCACCATTAGTTGTTATTGATAAAGAGCTGGCATAAGGCAGGCTCCAGAGTGTTGAATCAAGGGTTTGTCCCCTTGACACAAACTCATCTGGACACGATAGCATAAGAAGTTGATACTGGCTCTGTTTACATGGATGTGATGGTATGCAGTTGTTGAAAGTAGTCTTTTCTTCCCAGCTCTGATTGCGAAGGGTAGGGCTCAATAAAAAAGAGCACCCCAGAATCTCCAATTCCTCATTACCGAAAATCGAGCTTTAGAGGAATATAGTCTTTCAATGAGCCAACTATCAGGAACTTTCACTGGTGACTACCACATACACACACAACTTAAGACTGCTAGTCAATCTTGACTACTCAACACAAATCCTACCACAAAACATTGAACCAGTTTGTTGGAATACAACACTCCTAGTTTAGGATTTCGACGAGGTATCTCAATCACTTTTGAACTTGACATGGAAATACGAGAATAGTTTTTCATTTTGGTTTCTAATTGGAGCACATATAAGACACTAGTTCTAAGCATTGAAAGAATAAACAAGCGAATACAGACTGACATGAACTAAGTTGGCCAGACATAATTTGAATCTAGATTCTTGAGATATATTATTCAAGAAAATCACTAACAAACACACCTGGTCAATCAAATCTGGATTTGACAGCGCCCAGCCCTTCTTTCGATATGCTTCACGGACATCTTCACAAGTATTACAGCAATGGTCATCTGACTGCAACATGAAAACAGTTAGAAGTAGCTTACGACCACATAGGATACACTAAACCATACGGGACTTCATAAGATCAGTATATTTTCTCAGAATAAGCACATCAACGCAGAAAAGTAACACCTATATATGTGGATTCTTATAGAGCGGTAATTGAAGGAGGCTTCTGAAAAGCAGACAACAGTTAAGCATAAATTCTACGGGGAATCAGAGGGACCCAGGTTGAAGGATTTTCTCTAGGGTGTAGAGAGGCAAGAAACCCACTTGCAATATATTGCAACTTCCAAGTAACCCTTGGCACACTTAAAAGAATGTGGGAACACTTAACACGTCACCATAGAGAGATTAATGATTGATGAAGTATCTATTTCTAATGCTTAAGATATCATTGATTACCTCTTCAGCACCAAAGCATGAACCACAATAAGTTTCGTTGTGCTCAAGCCTCCCACCATGTTTCTGCAAAGGCTTTTCAATCTGCAGAGAGCAACCATACCCAATCAAACACGTACCATGTGGTAAGTGGTAACGGGAACAGAAACACGTGGTTTAAGCTCTACATGCTAAAAAAGTCCAAAGCAAGCATTCTAGTTTACAAGGACGAGCTCTAGATTGCATTGGGTCAGACTGCTGTACTCCTGGAGTACACTCCAGGAGTACCCAGCGTTGAGCATCTATACACATAAATATATTAAACAACTGTACATATCAGACTACCAACCTTAGGAGCACCAATTCCATCGGGCCGTGCTTCTATTACATTGCCGTGAGAGTCGATTCTCTTCTTAATAATGTCATGTTTCTGCAGAAAATTAAAATTAGCACACCGTTGACTTGAGAATGATAACTCAAGAAATAGAGCACTTGTGTCATGTTTGACAGTAAGAAATTCACTGGCAACATTACCAAACTAGAACTTCATGAGGTTCAGTTACTTACCACATCAAGATGTTGCTCTCCGCTTATGTCCATGGCATCAAGACTTAGAATAGAGCATGGCAGGGCAGGAAAAGTGACATCAAACTGAAATTGCAGGATTGTGATAAACAAGTGAGAACTTCAGTGAGTCAAGAACAAGATCTTTTCAAAAAAGGTACCACTTCACAAGAATACCAGTGTGGCAGTGTATGTTTCAAAAAAAAGTACAGTTCAGGATGAATAAACGTATAACACCTAGACTGAACATATCAGTTCCATAACATTGCATTGTTAAAGAAAGAAATTACATTGATACGAAGAGTTTCTCCCCTTGAAGTATCGACCACGAGCTTTGTCTCAGTGACAGTATGCAAGTATAATCCTGTACAAGATGCTAGAATAGTTAGCAATCAAAAGCAAGGCAAACAATTTTTGGAGCTGAGAACAGAAAGCACTATATTTGAGGTGCGAACTCCGAACAGTTAGCAATCAAACACAAGCATAGCTCAACGACGAGAGTTTGAGGTACGGACTCCGAAAGTATCAGATCAAAGATTCTCCTTTTGCCTAGAATTACTCAACCAAAGCAACTGCAACCAGTGGAACAAGTAAAAGTTCCCCTAAATCATTCTGAAAAGGTGCCACACGCACCAATGGACGGATCAGCCTATGTCAATGTGCAGTACAAGCAATTTATCAGCGAAAATCGGAGCGTTTAAATAGCGAAACTACGTGACAAATCTAACAGCAAATGTCCATTGCAAAACAAAATAGTCCGATCCCTTTAGCGCTTAAAACCCAAAAATTGAATCCCAGAAGGTAAAGGAAGGTAAAGTCAACTAGTTTCTGCCGCCCATTTGCAGAACAATGATAACAACCGAGATGTAAACAGCAACCATATTGTCTAAGCTAAGAAAGTAGGAGTCTTGAGGATCGTGGATGAGGAATCTTAAAAAAAAAAAAAAAAAGCAAGGCAGATTGAACTCACGAAGCTCCGAGATGAAAAGAAGAAGCATGAGAACCGATGAGGCGAGGGTGATAAGGCCGCCAGAAAGCGTACGACTATAGAAATCCTCGTTGATTTTCGGGTACGCATCTAAGTTCCTCAGCTTGCTCATTATCCCGTCCATTCTGAAACCCCTGAACTCGATCAATTGCGGCGTTTACCTCTAGCTACCTGCGATTGCCCTAAAGCTGTTGGCAGAATTTTCTGAAGTCACCCTAGGCGTCCAAATCAACCTAATCTCCTCCCGAAATGTCGATATTTTGGATTCAACGACTTTGGAAAATGGGGCTCGGCCGGAAATTTAACCCCAGGAAGATCAATGGATCGATGGGATTGATTGCGATTCGAACGAGGTGCTTGAAGAAGCTATTTATTTGTGTTGACGTCTACCGCCGTTTCTTGTGTTTTCCTTTTCTTCATTCCGACCCGCCCATTTTTTCCCATTTTTTTATTTTTTTGACGTATGAGGCCAAAAAAAAGGCAAAATACACTTGTATAGTCGTAATTTTCACGTTTTTGACAAATATAGCCATAACTATTGGAAAACACAAAATAGCCAAGAAATTGGATGGTCGTGTTACAAATCTAGCCATTTCCGTTAAAAACTTTAACGGTGTTAGAAACTCCGTTAGTTAGGTTAACGTTAGGCTGACTAGGATGCCAAATCATCGCACACGTCAGCGATAACTCAACTACACTTGCCACGTAAGTGCCATGTCATATTTTAATTCAAAAATAAATTAATTAATCAATTAATAACTAATTTAAAAACATAAAAATATATTTTTTTCCTTTTCAATATCCAATCTCCTCTCCCTCTCTCCTGTCCTTTGTCTTCTCCATCTGTTCTCCAATGGACTCCCCCACCATCTCAATGGCAGAGATAAACGGCTGAATCATCACCAAAAAAGTCAATGTCTTCACTTCTTCCCTAGCAAAATCCCTTCTACCTTCCGTTCTTCTCGTTGCAACCCTTCCATCCTCCCAAATCGCCAACGATGTCGTCGTTCCCAGAAGAGGTATAGCTTCAATCGAAGCCACCGCCGCATCAATCGACTTTTCCACCACCGCCGCATCAATCATCATTCCCAACCAGCGACCATTGCTCCCAACCAGCGACCTGACCCCCTCCGTCTCCGAACAAATTCCCTTCCCTGCAACAAAAATCCCAAACCCAGAAATACCCAAAATCTCCAGAGAATATACCCAACCCCTCCGTCTCCGATTCAGATCTACCTCACCGATCCTACCGCACAGCCAGGCCCTCCAGCTCCTCCTTCGCCGCAGCCCTCTCCGCCTTCAGCTCCTTGTACCGGCTCTCCTTCACCATTTCCCCCAATCAAACGAGCATGAAGCTGACGTTCATCCCCAGTTGCTCGAACCCTCTCAACTCGCGCTCCCACATCTTAAATCTCTGCCTCATCCGCGGAGCCAACCATGGACGAAGCTGCCATGACGGCGACGACGATTGAGGATGAAGAAGTGCTGGTGGTGGTGGTGGTATTTCAGGTGGCGATGGGTTGCAGCGGCGGCTTGAGGTGCTTCTCGACCTCGAGGGGATCCAGTCGGCAGAGAGGGTGTCGATTGAAGCATTGATTTCTAGTGATAGACAAAGGGCAAATAGATTTTAGGGATTTCATGTGGTGTATTGGGGATTTTGTGTTAATTTGTTCTTTTTTGTTTAATTTTATTTTTATTTTTTTCATTTCCACTTTTGATTTCCATGTCAGAAGGTAGGGTAACTCAGTGGCCAACTCAGCGTTAGCCGTTAGTCTAGTCATAACGTCTATTAACACCGTTACCAAAATGGACGGAATTGGCTATTTCGTGTTTTCGAATAAATATGGCTATATTTGTCAAAAACGTGAAAGTTATGGCTATACAAGTGTAATTTGCCTAAAAAAAAAAGTAATAGTCTTACTGTCTTAGACCATCCACAATGTGGGTGAGAGGGAAAAGTAGGAAAAAAGAGAAAAGAGTCTGGAGGAAGAGGTTTTGGTCTCAATATGGCGGTGGAAAAAGTGGGTAATTGATTTAATATTTTTTTGTTAAAATCAATTTATAGTTGATTTCATCATTTTATTTTTATATAATGATACTTATTGTTATGTAGTTAGTGATAATTAATTAATACGAACATTTTGATATAATTATTTTTAATTTCGACATAATTTTTTCATCACTAATTAAATATAACGTCATTGATTCTGTCTGTTGCGAATAAAACCAATTAAAACATCTCACAATAAATGAAATTAAAAAGTAAACTATGTGTGAGCCCCTCCCCCTTCCTTCCCCCACTATTTGTCTGCTAGTAGGGATAACTCCCCTCCCCCCTCTTCCCCCCTTTGAAAAGCGGTGAATGCATCACCGTGATTGACTGCTGTGGTGAATGTCTGACCTAATACTGAAACTTCAAACGAACGTAACTTTGTGCTCGGTTTTCCGATGCAGCAAAAAAAAAAAAAATTGATTCCACACAACTTTTCAAGATCTTTCAATCTGCAACATAGCATTCCTCCCAAAAAATGTCGCTTGCTACCCCGAACGAGCAATTTTTCGATTCCGACAAATATTGGAAAGCCATAACTTTGTGCTGCGCAATCCGAATGTCATGAAACTTTTTTTGATTAGCATAAATTTTGAAAGACTATAACTTTTATCATAACCATAATTTTGGAATGTGTGGATTTGTGAAAAGTAAAGGCAAAGTCAAAATCCCGTATACCCAAAATTATTTCTTTTTTAAAAAATTCTTTCCTTGTAAAAGTTGTAGTTCTTAAAAAGTTATGCGCAATAATAAAAAAACTTTATGACGTTCGGATTGAGGAAAAAAAGTTATGACCTTCCAAAGTTTGGCAAAGTCAAAACATTTCTCGTTCAGGGTAGCAAACGACATTTTTTTTTGGAAAGAAGACTTCTTGGAGATTGAAAGATCTTGAAAATTTAGCGGAATCAAAATTTTTTCACTACAATCGGATAGTTGAGTGCAAAGTTTCGTTCGTTTGAAGTTTCAATGTTAGGTCAGTCATTCACCGCGGGGATGCATTCACCGCTTTTATCTGCCGCGGTAAATGCATTCACTGCGGTTGACAGCTGCAGTGATGCCCAAACATGTGTATTTTGGGAATTTTTCATAAAACGTGTGTATTTTGGGATTTAAAAAAAATTTGTATTTTGGGATTTTTTCCACCAATAAATAGGTCTATAAGGTTTAGAAATTGGTAGCCAGTGATAGGAGACCTTAGAGGGTCGTTAATCTGGCGACAAAGTAACCCACCTAATTTAGAATGACACCGATCACCATAGGGAAATCGATGCCCAGATTGACGACCTAGACCATAAATGAAACAACCCGATGTTTTTCGAAAACCAAACCATAATTTAAAATAAGAAGTGGTTACCCCGGAGCAACCCAAATCACATTTTAAAGTCAAACCAAAAACCACTCAACGTCAATGTTCAGAAATCCCAAAACAAAAGCCCTAAACACTTGAGCAAATTCCAATCCAAAATACTCCAACACAAACCTTGAGTTTACCAATATACTCATAAGACATGAAAATAATGACAATCATGATGAAGGGTTCTCCTCTCCATACCCTGAGCCCTCTAACATCTTCAAACTTGACGCGACTGACTTCCTAGATCAACCTCCTCGTACTGGTTACGTCTTCTTCCCCTTTTCACACCTGGTGAGTGAGAAGGGGTCAATCTCGTCGTTACTGACTAAGGTCTTTGCCTAAATAAACTTTTACTGATACATTATTAGAAGTTACTTTTCTCTTACATGAAAGTTGTTTTCGCTTTCATCCTTAATATTTTAGTCTTTTATCATCACAAAAGTTCTCTACTTCTATCTTAACTCATAACTCATTACTAGGGTTCATCGCGTTATGTATCGTCGTCCGGTGTCCCTATCCTCTAGGCAATGATACTGCGTTACGTATCATCGTCCAGTAGTGACCCGATCATCTACCGTGTCCAATAGTGGCCCAACCTGATGTGATCCTAATTAGGTCACTATACGAGTCTGAGTTGCTTGACCAAGAAGCCATACCAGTCACTATCAAAACCTAGGAAAATTGGACAAGTCTTTTAGCATGTTCAAGTTGCCCACTTTGCAAGCTTGGGCGATGCAATTGGCTCAATGGAAATCGGAGAATGAAGGCTTGTTTTGAAGATGGGTTGTTCCTTTACAGGTTTGTAAACTTGGTTGCTCAAGGAAAAGCCAGGAAGACCCAATTCCAGGTCGTGCAAAAGCTTATGTTAAAACCGAAAATCTGCCAGTTTTTGGTTAAGTATAGAGGACAGCCTAGAGACCGATTTTGGAGGCTTTGTTCGAGGAGGAAGATTGAGTTTCAGGGAAAGGAGATTGTTATCCATAAAATAGACGATTTCTACTATAGAGACAAGGCATTGGCTGATCGAAAGGAGGCTTGCAAGGTCTCCATCGAAGAACTGGAACATGGAGTGAAGCTTGGTCCGGAAGACTGCCAGCAAGACAATCCGAGTCCTTTGCGGATTAGGATTCAGAGACTGTTTTGGATTTAGTTTGTTATTTCCGTGTTTACTTCCAATTAGGGTTTCGTTATGGCTTGTAAACCTAGGTAGGTTCTATTAAAGCACTTCATTGCATTGTAATAGTTAGTTTTTTTTAGCGAATTGAATACAAACTGCAAGTTTGATTCACAAATTCTTGCTTGTGTTTGACAGTAGCTTAGAACGAGTTCTAGGGCTCTCGTTGTTGTATCGATCAAGCCATCCATTCTTGATCGTGGCCAGCCTCGACTTGATTCTTTTCGAGCCTTCGTCCTGTGTGTACGATTGCACGAGATATCTCAACCACCCATAATCCATTCACAACCAGTTTACGTCCGAAATTCGAATTGGAATTTCAACCCCAATTCTCGTTGTGCAACTTTGATTCGAAATCACCCATTCAAGGGCGTATTAAGTGGCATCGGAGCCTTGGTTCTACACAGTGGACAAGATGGAGAAGCACGTTGCTGGGGAAACGCGTTGGACAAGGTCGCAAAGTTCCGTTTCCAACGACCCTGAGGCTGTACACCAGCAAACAGAGCAGGACGACGAGTTGAATTCGGAGGCTCAAGTCGACAGTCAAGCAATGGCGACAGTTTGACGAGAGATTCACTGAATTCCGGCAGGGAATCGATCAAAAAATCGACACCATCGCTCGGTCGGAAAACAAAGTCCGTGATAGGGAAGTTCCCGCCGATTAACAACCTGACGGAAATCCGGCGTTAATGGATCGAATTGCAGATCTTGAACAACATCTAGTCGTAGCAGAACCCCATCATGACCAGCCACGTCGAGAACGACGAGATAATCGGGAAGTAGAGCCTTGGCGATTCCACCTGGAATCAAGTTGGCCGTACCGGCGTTTCAGGGCACGATTAATGTTGCGGCTTACCTGGACTGGGAAAGGAAGATAATTATCTTCTTCTAGTGTGGGCATTACACAAAACAACAAAAGATAGCCCTGTCCACATTCGAATTCACTGATTACGCTGCTCAATGGTGGGAAAAGATTCATCACCGGCGACGGCAAAACCTGCAAACCGAAGTGACCGATTGGGAGGAGTTACGCGGGTTGATGCGCTATCGGTTCGTACCGGCCTATTATCAGAGGGAGCTCCATGAATCATTACAAGGGATTCGACAGGGAGGACGGAGCGTGGAGGATTACTTTCGTGAATTGGAGCTTCTTTTAATGGGAGTTGATGTGCAAGAAGACAGGGAGGCAACAATCGCTCGATTCCTCCATGGGTTGAGTCGAGAGATTATGCAGGAAGTCGACCTGAGGTCCTTTGTCGACCTAGAGGAAGCCTTGCACCTAACCATCAAAATCGAGAAACAACAAAAGATGGTGACTGGCAGGAGGTTTGTTCCAACGACCAAACCGGCAGCAGAGGTGAGTGGTGACCTCAATTCGACCCAAGTACGACCTGAAGCCACCAAACCTACCCCCAGAAACACGAATCTAGCTCCAGTTGGGCGTTTGGGAGGGATCCAGTGTTTCAAGTGTTATGGCAAGGGCCATAAGGCCAACCAATGCCCCAATGGGAAGACTCTGGTGATCAGAGACAGTGCCTACCTCACTGACGACGAGCAATCTGGCTTCAGTGATGAGGAAAACGTCGATGAGAAGATTGAAATGGAAGCTACTACACCTGGGAAACCTTCTGGGCGTCAGCAGGAGGGCTTGACCATCGACAATGA